GCTTGATAAGCTCTTCTGGCGTCATGGATGATTCAGCTAAACTACTCTGAATGTTTGCTTTGGACATCTCGGTGCTGGTGCTGCAAAGCTCTCGGAGGACCGTTTAAACTCGTGCCGTGTTCTCTCCAGGAGAGATACTTGACACAGATACAAGTGTGTTCCCGAGATAGAAATATTCACAGCCAAAACAGCCTCATTCAGATCCAGATCCGATTGCAAAGCGTCTCTACCCAGATGTTGTGCTTTCACGTTGTTTTGCTTCTGATCGAAAAGCCTCTTTGTGTGGAGACCCTGAGCTATTCAGAGCATGACACAAATTTCCTCTGATATAATTAAATAAACACCACTGTGAGGTTTTAATTTAACATCGGAGTTATTAATATTAGACCTCAGGGTTTGGAGGAAAAAAACAAAGAAACCCCAAAGTACTGTCTCGGTTTCTAAGAGCCCTACCTCTGACCAGTTTCTCTCTGGTGCAGTGCGGGGTATATGCAGAGGTAGGACACATGCCTTCCTTATTTTTAATTCAGTAGAGCACGCCTTTTTTATGTCCCTAGAGGAGTCACCAGCCTGGCCTTCATCAGCTGGTGGGATGCTAAACAGGAGGAGGAATTATACATCACTCCTAATCTAATCTAAACAGTCTGCCCCCGATGTCCAGTGCTCTCTGCTCATAGTTAAAACACTGCTTATGCAGCAGTTAGCGCATAAGAGGAGCACAGACCCCCGAGTGCAGCAACAGAACGGGCCGCAGAAATAAAAAATGTGTTTATAGGCCATAAATATTGAATTGTAAGCGGGTCGTTAGCGGATTACTCCCCTGATTCCACGCATTCGTGTAAAAAGAGGGTCAGGTCTTTGTCAGGGCGCACATTCAGGAGCCGACACGTGCTCCATTGTTGCAGTGATTACTGGCGTTAGTTTTTTAAGACGCAGAGGCCGTCTCCCCGAGCGCCGGCAGGAATATTTAGAGCTGATGATGTTGGACCTGGAACAGCTCCACAGAGAGCCAATCCGCCGTAAACTGGGGGCGAGCAATTAACTCGGGTCTCGTAAGGCAGATCTACCTTTGTTAATGGTTTTTCTTTTTCAATGTGCCCTAGAACAGGTTATTTAAGGAACACGTCCAGCTGCTCGGGATTTAAACACTTAAGTTCACAGACTCCAGTGTTGAAATCAGTGGAAAACATGGCTGAGTGTCTTCATTTTGTGTCGGGGTTAAAAGAGGCCTCTCAAAGAAAAGGAAGAGCCTTCATGGTATTTATGCTTTCCACGCTTGATCTGACACAAGAATTACACCGTGGCACAAGGCAGCAGCTGGGCCTCCATGAGGTCCGAACCCCGGCTAGTTCTGACCGCTCTGCAGCTGGAGGGGAAGATTTTTAATCAAACGGGCTCCTCACTGGGACGTTTCTCTGTCTAAAGCACCCTAAAGAGAGTCAATGTTGGTTTTTACTTCAGCAAATATCTCTAATAAGGGCCAGAATCACAACCTCTACTAGAGAAATAACCTCTGTTGTCCTCACTGTTGTTCCAGCCAATCACACGAGCAGAACTCGTCACCCTGGCAACCAGGAAAATGGAGAAGCCGCTGTCTAACCTGCCCTGAGCTGTGCTTTTTTTTTTTTTTTTTTTCCGGACGGATGCTCCTCAGCATCTTTATCACCATGGCGACGCCGGCCTGTGTCTCCCCCAGTTTATAACCGGGTGTTTCAGGGAACACCGAGCCTGTAATGACCTCAGAGTGCTAACTGGAAGCGTTTGTGTTTTCCACTTAGCATTTAGACACAGCCAGAGACTCCTAATGACCACACTTCGATATTGAAAGCCATCGGTTTTTGAATATTTGCCTCCTCTCTGCTTAAATTTAAGAACGCCTCCCTCTGATTCGGCACGCCTCTATGAAGCCGGTGGGATTTTCTCTGGGATCTTAAAGAGGTTTAAGGTTGGAGATCCGGGTTGGGATATTACAGCAGTGTGATAAAGGGAATAACAGTAGATTAGCAACAATTCCAATTCCTTTCAAGTGATTGGTTTGATTGTCAAAATGGAGGCATGTGTTTTTCTTTGAGACCACTTAAGTTTCTGACTGGATGACACACCATTTCAAACCAATATTTGTACCATTTCCAGCCATAGCACACTTAGTATTTTGTCTCTGGCTTTTAGCTTTTATTCAACGGCTGTTGTGTGATGACGCACTTGAACTAATAATTTTTGACTAAGAGTAAGAAAAGCAATGGTCACACCACAAAAAGGGATTTGAATATCACAGTCATGAAGTCGTTGCCCTGCATGTAAGGCTCTTAAGTAATCACTGTGTTGGAATCACTTGTAGACTTCAGTGTCTTTTTCAAAATCTTTATATTTGCCCTCCATGTTTTGTTTTGTTTTTTGGAAAAACAGCTGTTTATTAATGGGTTTATTTATTAATTAACGGGTTTATTTATTCAGTATTTTTGTCGTAAAGTTGTCGCTGTGGTTTGATATTGCCGCCGGGCTTTGGCTGGAAAGCTGATTTTTATACCGCAGTGCGTCTCAGCAGATCCTCGCTGTCGACATCATAGGTTGGATGCTTGAACAAAGAGTAATGGGTCTCATGTGATGTTCTCAGCCACACAGACGGCTCATAGCTGCTCAGCCAGCCGGAAAAAAATGTCTGCTCATTTGGGGTTTCAGGGTCCTCCGGGAGCCGCGAGCAGTTGGTCATTCTCTGTCTTGCTAGCTTTTAGTTAGCTCTGGTGTTAAACTCTGTAGCACACTCCAAACATGCAGTGAAACATGAAAGTCGTGTCTCCGGTTGGGGTTGAGCCAGACGGGACGGCCTTTGTTATTATCTGCACGTCACGAAACTGTAAGAAAACATCTCCTTCTGATCTTGTGACTCGGCTTAGGACGGCTTCTCGGAGGGATTTGAGCACAGAGACTCGGCAGACGCAGAAGCACCGATGTGTGTTTGATTTAAAATAGATTAAAGGGCTGATGGGTAGCGGTGTGGTGGGGCATTGTTTGGTTGGCTCCGTTATCGCAGAGCTGGTTGTGGTGACTGTCTGTAGAACACAGCCAGTTTCGGGTTTCTGGTTTGCGAAATGTTCTTTACAGCCAATAACGCCTAACAGGCTGCTCCCATAATGGCTGTTGGAATTTTTATGCTTCACCAAATACAGCAGGTGATGGCTGAGTTTGCACTGAGAGGGGAAGGCTTTTAAAAAAGGTCCTTAAAGAGCCTGGCCCTTTTCTAAAAAAGCAGACAATGCTTTAGAGGAAATGTCAAATTAACACCGGGGCTGTGAGCCAACGTCAATACGACTTTATAAATTTAAAGCTCATATTGATGTGCTGTGATGAAAAAACAACACCTCCAGTTTACTCTGGAGATGTTTGATGGGACGACTTTAAAAAGTGGAGATGAACTCGGATAAGCGGTGTCTGCGTCGTCGGGAATGCGCGCCCTGTAAGGGAAATACCACCTCTGACTGGACATGGAGCATCTGATTGTGGCAGTGTGTTATGTGGAATTCCATCTAAGGACTAAAATCCCTCCGAGCAACCTGAGCAAAAAGACGGGTCCTCCCTCTGACACAATAAACAAAGACAAGAGCCGGATGTTCAAAGTGTTGCTTTCCTCTTTTTTTTTTCTTTTGAAAGGAAAATCCTGAAATCCTGAAACTGAGCACGTTACCTTTAAGTTGACCATGATTGAGATTTAAGGTGAAGACCATATGTTCCGTTGTCTTTCAGATAATAGGGATTATCTGCAGTCATGCGTTTAGGTTTGAGCTACTTTAGCTTCCAAACCTCCATCAGCAGACGGCGTTAAAGACTGAGATTAAGAAGTTAACATTTCTCTGACGTCTGCATTTCTGGCTCCGACGTCTGTTTTCTGCTCCAGCCGCTTACAACATTATATAACTGTTGAGTTTTTTTTTTTTTCATGTTTACTATTCCTGTTGCTCAGAAATGGCTTTGTTAAAGTCTGTTTTTTCTTTCCTCCCACATCCATTTGATTCTTGTTATTATTTAACAAACACGCCGACACATCATCTGATCCCTGCGGGCCTCCGACAGGAACTGCTGAGTGGGGTCGGCCTGCTGCGAGCAGCTGGGAAACTTTTAGCAGGGCAGTTAAAAGATGCTGTCGCCATCAAAAAATTAAACGTATAGTTTAGGAAGATGGATGGAAATATCACACAACCTTGACGCATTACATGAAGCATATTTGCTTTTCATTAACTCCTAAAAGAAGATTATGATCATTATGATCTTGCTAGACATTAGCATGAGCTGATTTTCTCCTGGTAACATCTCAGATGATGATTTCCTTTCGTGTGAAGCATCGAGATTAAATTACCATGTGATGATTGGTAAGGATGTGGCAAAATAAGTTTTAATAACCGACTATATCAAATGGTGTTTGTGTGCTGAAAGGACCTGCTGCAGTGAAGGGGAGGCGGGGGATGGGGGGGGTTATTGTAAATGTCACAGGGTGCCTGCTGTTGATTACTGGATCTGTGTGGGCGATACTCTCCTCGGGGAGATTCCCGGCTACATCTCCATAATCAGCAGCGGCAGCTACCTTAAGTCACCCAGCGGAGTTTCTGCTGGGATTCTGCAGAGAAAAAAAGGATCAGAGAGGAAGAAATAACGGGGAAAGCTCCATCAGAGCGTGTTGTTGCTCTGGAATTGATTGATCCACCTTAATTTGGTTGCCTATCTTGACAGTTTCAAGGCTTTTAATTGAGAGGAAAAACACATTTTATTCAAAATTCAACCCGTTTACATATAAATTTAGATGGAAAAATCCTGTGTTCATAATATCAGCCCCAATTTTCTTAAGATGAAGGATAGAAATAAAAATTTGTTTGTGTCCATGTGCACTAAGTTCACGGTTTGGTTGACCCACCAGGATTATATGGATATGTTTTTTTCCCGCTTTACACAAAGAACTAAATTAGTTTACTTGTCTTTCTTTAAGCTCAGGTATTCTATGTTTGTTAAAGATGAATGCAGGTCAAAAGCTTAGCTCTGCTCAGTTCGATAAAAGGAAAAATGACTACATACAATATGTAAGTACTGGCTTTTATTTATTGACCATGTTGTTCTTTTTCTTTGAAGGATGGAAGACAGCGTAAAGAAAGGAAGAAGACTGTGTCGTTCAGCAGCATGCCCACTGAGAAGAAGATCAGCAGTGCCAGCGACTGCATCAGTGCGATGGTTGATGGCTCGGAGCTGAAGAAAGTTCGATCCAACTCCCGCATTTACCACCGTTACTTCCTCCTCGATGCTGACATGCAGTCTCTAAGATGGGAGCCTACAAAGAAGGAGTCTGAAAAAGCCAAAATTGACGTCAAGTCTATCAAAGAGGTTCGGACGGGCAAAAATACAGACACTTTTAGAACTAATGGGACCTACGACCAGCTATCGGAGGACTGTGCGTTCTCAATCATCTTTGGGGAGAATTACGAGTCTCTGGACTTGGTAGCAAACACAGCAGATGTAGCCAACATTTGGGTAACTGGGCTAAGGTACCTGATCTCCTATGGGAAACATACCTTAAACATGATTGAAAGCAGTCAGAACAACATGCGCTCATCATGGCTGAGTGACCTCTTTGACGAGGAGGACATTAACAACAGCAAACAAATAACAATATGTGCTTCTGTGCAGCTAATCAAAAAGCTAAACCCGGGACTTAAGAATGTGAAGATTGAACTGAAGTTCAAGGAGCTTCACAAAGCTAAGGACAAAACCGGTTCCGATGTGACAAGAGATGAGTTCATTGAGGTTTTCCACGACCTATGCACCCGACCAGAAATCTATTTTCTCTTTGTTCAGTTTTCGAGTAACAAAGAGGTTCTCGATACCAAGGACTTGATGATATTTCTTGAGGCAGAGCAGGGAATGGCTCAAGTGAGCGAAGAGACCAGTTTAGAGGTCATCCAGAAATATGAGCCTTCAAAAGAGGGCCAGCTCAAGGGTTGGCTTTCTCTCGACGGATTCTCCAACTACCTAATGTCTCCAGAGTGCCACATATTTGACCCCGAGCACAAATCCGTTTGCCAAGACATGAACCAACCTTTATCCCACTACTACATCAACGCATCCCACAACACATACCTGATAGAGGATCAGTTTCGAGGTCCCTCCGATGTGACGGGGTACATACGAGCGCTCAAGATGGGCTGCCGCTGTGTGGAACTGGACGTTTGGGACGGACCCGATAACGAGCCCGTCATTTACACCGGCCACACTATGACCTCACAGATCGTCTTTCGAGGCGTCATTGACGTCGTCAACAAGTATGCCTTTGTTGCCTCCGACTTTCCACTGATACTGTGTTTAGAAAACCACTGCTCCTTAAAGCAGCAGCGGGTGATGTTTCAGCATCTTAAGAAGATCCTCGGGGACAAGATCCACACGGATCCCCCGAAGCCTGAGGACTGTTACCTTCCCTGTCCCTCTGAACTGAAGGGCAAGATCCTACTTAAGGGCAAGAAACTGGGCACGAACTGCAACGCCTCCGAGGGCGAGGTGACCGACGAGGACGAGGGGGCGGAGATGTCTCAAAGGATGAGCATCGAGTCTGCCGAGCAGCAAACCATCGCCCCCAAAAAGTTCCAGCTCTCCAAGGACCTCTCAGACCTCGTAACATTGTGCAAGTCGACGGAGTTTAAGGACTTCTCAACGTCTTTCCAGAACCAAAAGCACTGGGAGCTCTGCTCTTTCAACGAGGTGTTTGCCAGTCGCTGCGCCTGCGACTTCCCAGGCGACTTTGTCAACTACAACAAGAAGTTCCTAGCGAGAGTTTACCCAAGTCCCATGCGGATCGACTCTAGCAACATGAACCCACAAGACTTCTGGAAGTGCGGCTGTCAGATAGTAGCAATGAACTACCAGACGCCCGGCCTGATGATGGATTTAAACATCGGCTGGTTTCGTCAGAACGGGAACTGCGGCTTTGTGCTCCGTCCGGCCATCATGAGGGAGCAGGTTTCCTATTTTAGTGCCAACACAAAAGACTCAGTGCCTGGTGTTTCTCCACAGCTCTTGCACATCAAGATAATCAGTGGACAAAACTTCCCCAAACCCAAAGGCTCAGGTGCCAAAGGGGATGTCGTGGACCCTTACGTCTACGTGGAGATCCACGGCATTCCCGCCGACTGTGCTGAGCAAAGGACTAAAACCGTCAACCAGAACGGGGACAATCCCCTGTTCGACGAGAGCTTTGAGTTCCAGATCAACCTGCCGGAGCTCGCAATGGTGCGGTTCGTGGTGCTAGACGACGACTACATCGGAGACGAGTTCATCGGCCAGTACACGATCCCCTTCGAGTGTCTGCAGCCGGGGTTCCGCCACGTTCCCCTGCAATCTCTGACCGGAGAGGTCCTGCCGCACACCTTCCTGTTCGTCCACGTGGCCATAACCAACCGGAGAGGGGGCGGCAAGCCCCACAAAAGGGGGCTCTCTGTGCGCAAGAGCAAGAGGGGCAGGGAGTACGCCAGCATGAGGGTGCTGCTGATCAAGGCCCTGGACGAGGTCTTCAAAACGGCCCTGCTGCCACTGAGGGAGGCCACGGACCTCAGAGAAAATATGCAGGTAAGAAGTGAGACAATAAATCAGTCACTGAGACACTAAATCAGGATTATCTGAAGGTTTGTGACCTTCTTTTTGGCTGGTGCGGCTCGATCTCACTTGTTTCTTGAGGTCTTGCCGTTTAGCGATGTGAAGCTTTTTATTTTTCCAGCTTTTGGCTTCGAGTATGCTGATTTCAAAACTGTCCAGCAAAGCAAATCTCAAGCAAACAAACATTGTCGCCTGGTCTTTGGTAACAGGAAAACAGACCCTGTTGGAATTGCTGCTCCTGCTGAGTAAACAAAGCAAAGTCAAAACCCAGTATTGATTCTTTTTTTTAAAACTGTTTTTATAGCTGTAGATTTAACGTCTAATGACCCTTTCTTCTTTCTTTTGACATTAAAACAAAAAGAAAAAAAGGGTCTCCTTGGGAATTTAGCTTTGTTTAAATGAAAATCTTTTCCAGTGAATGTTTACATGTGGAGATCTGCAAAGCTGCTCCCTGCTATTAAAGAATGAACACCTGCTTTTTTAAATGTTTTTCACTGAAACACAATTAAAAAAAAATTGCATTAAACCCCTTGTTTCCCAATTCAAAAGTACATTGTACCCAGGTTTGCTTCAAAGAATCAAAAGCATCTGAAACAACCCCCTTTGTGGGAACAGACCACCAACCATGAGTGAATGTGACGGGATCTCATCCCTGTGTGTGGTACAGTAGTCCAAGCTCAAAGAAGTCATTGTGCAAATTTTGGCTGTAGTATAAACATCACTTTTTAACCATTAATCTGTAATCACCACGGAGGAGAAAACAGGGACTTTCACCCCCCCATTTCCAGTTAGAAATCTGTGCTGAAATGTATGAAAAGTGTGAGAAATGCTGCTGGGAGGTCAGAGCTGTCTGCAGGCGTTGGATGAGCTTTTTTATTTCAGTCGTCCTGTTTACACTGCGGCCATTAGATAACAAGCCACCAGCCTTGACTGTAACACATCTTGGCTGTCTTGTCACAGTCTGTCCCTCCGGCTGTTTATGCAGGGTTTAAATTTGGACCCTCATAGGAAGTTTAGGATTTGTGTGTGCTTGTTTGTTTTCGATGCGATGCCGGTGTCATTTCAGGAGGATTAAGTGTGCGTGAGTCGCTATCAAGTGCGAACCGAGTTCTCACGAGCGATGACAAAGCTTCCAGCCATTCCCTCAGAGAACAAGCCCATCTTAAAAGGGCGTGGCTGTCTCTTTAAAGCAGATGATGGAGATAAATGCATGTTTAAGTTGACTATCTGGGCAGTTTATAATGAAGTATGTATCAGCTGACATGGAAACATCTCAGTGGAACCCTGTCATTTCCAGTCATGTACAAGAAGAAAGAAGATAGAATACAACACCCCCATTGACACTCCATCAAAGTAATTTATTTATAGGTGTACATCCCTCTGTCTAGTTTAATATGACAGATGGAATTCAGACTCAAATTAAATTAGGGTGCTTTTAAGTGGATGTTTTTATGACTAAAGTAATGAAAACAAAAGCCTGCAGGGTAAATAAAACCAGCTTCAGTTGCCATCTTTATTCTTCACATGACTGATGACAAAGACCCAGGACGATAGAGGAGTGGCCCAGTCTGTTTTTTGCTTTTAATAAAAAAAAACATCTCGTGTTAACACCAAAACATCTCCCATTTATTCCCACCTCTCTGCAGAATGCCATAGTGTCCTTTAAAGAGCTGTGCGGCCTTTCTGCCGTGGCCAACCTGAAGCAGTGCATCCTGGCTCTGGCCCCTCGTTTAACGGGACCGGACAGCAGCCCCCTCCTGGTGTTCAACCTCGCCGACCAGTACCCCAACCTGGAGGCCCAGGGCCTGCTGCCCGAGGTTCTCAAGAAGGTCGTCACCACATACGACATGGTGAGTAGTCCACAGGCTCCAAAATCAAGTCCAATTTGATGGTTGTGTAGGCATGGGTGCACTGGAGAAAACCTCATTAGAGTTGTTGTTCATCCATGTATGAATTAACCGATCGATGGACCATATTCACCCAGTTTGCGTCCAATCGGATCGATGCCTTGACTGAGCTTAATATAATGAGCATGCGGAGATGGTTGGGTAACGAGGCCGGAACTCTTGTTAAGTAACACAATCAATGGTGATGGCTTATGCAACATGACAGTGTTTTCAACCACAGAGCAGCAGCGTCTCCTGAAGCTTTTCAGAGGGTAGAAGGTTTCTCTGAGACATCACACTAACAATGAACTAATTACTTTTGTCTTTGAGACCATTTAGGCTTCATTTAACACCCGGGAAATAGACATTGACGGCTGTGTCCAAGTTAGGTGTTCATCAGGAATGGAGGAGAAATGACACTTAGTTAAAGCAGACTATCTGCCAGGCAGTAAATTTAGGGGGGGGGGGCTTTCTGCTGCTTTGAATGCTGCTAGCTGATGGAAATATGAACAGAACTGGAGAGATTTGGGAGAAAACTGCAGCTGTTAGCCAATGGCCTCGTTCAAACCTCCACAGTGGGACCACAAGACATTTGTGTATTTGATATTTTTGTATGGCAGAAATTGATCGGCATCGCCTGTAGCGGGGGCCACACCCTGAGGGCTTCATGTTGGTGCGACCAGGGTTTGTCTCCCATTACTAACGGGAAGATGAAAGGCACAGACAGTTGTCTCCATAGAAATGAACTATTTTTTGTTGCCCTCAGCACTCAAAAATGAATATCTGAAAAGGTTGATGATGTTGAGAGAATAAGGAGTCCCCTCAGCTTGTAAATGAGGAGGTGGTTATTGGCTCCCATGGAAAGCGGGCTGGGAAATGTGAGTTGGAGGGGGAAGAAACGAGAGATGAAGAGTAGGGGCGTGACTGGTGCGAGGCATAAAGCAAGCAGGACCTTAAAGAAATGGAAGTACAATCTGCGGCAAAGCCCACCACAGGGAGTGGGCCGGCCTCACTCCCGAGAGGCAAAAATAGAATCTGGGTCTTAGTCCCTGCCCATTTATGTGCTGACATGGAGAAAAAAAATGGGTGGAGAGGCTCCATCTGATGCCAGTTCGCGGGGTTAGATAATGTGGTGTGATGTCTGTTCTTGGTCTGATTATCTGAGGCTGGATGGACGGATAGAAAGAGAGGTTTGGTAACGAAAATGTAAGAATTCCTCTGTAGGCTGAGCCAAAGAGGAAAGTCTGCATTCTCCTTGACCACAAACACCCAGAGTCCTGTCAAAGAAGGACATTAATTCAGAATCAGAATCAGAATAAGGTTTATTGCCAAGTAGGTTTTTAGACTTACAAGGAATTTGCCTTGGTGTTAGGTGCACAACACAACACTTCTATGAGAAGCAAGGAAGGAAATAAAATGTAGAATTAAAAATATAGGACAGAAATTATAAAACTGAAAAATACAATCTTTAAAAATATAGATCCGAATGTACAATTGAAATGTGCAATGTTGAATGTGCAAACGACAGACCAGAAAATGCTGACAGTAGCATTGTGTATATTAGTGAAGTAGAGGGGGGTGGGAGAAGAATAAGTGGGGGTCGCTGGCCTTGTTGATGAGGCCAGTTGCTGCTGGACAGAAACTGTCTTTATGGCGTGAAGTTTTAGTCCTGATGGTCCTCAACCTTCTGCCAGAGGGGAGAGTTTCAAAAAGTTTGTGACCAGGGTGAGAAGGATAGTCTGTGATGCAGGTGATTGTGATGACAGAAGGGCCTTTTTTGTGTCAGTGTCAACTAGGGTTGTCACGATACTAAAATTTTCAACTCGATACCGATACTCAGGAAAATACTCGATACTCGATACCATTTTCGATACCACAAGGATAAAAACAAAGACCCCAAAATGTAACTGAATTTTGACAGGTTAGTGTCTTTCATTTCAAACTGACCTGTTACTGATGTTATCGTGACTGGTGGCCTGTATTAATGACCCTGACCCTAACCCTAACCCTAACCCTGACCCTCCAGCCTTCATAATTGTGAGAAATAAAATATTTTTTGGGTGAAACTTATTGGTTCTTATTATAAACTTATAAACTTATTTTTGGGGTTTGGACTTATTGTACAAACCTATTTAACATCCACTATTTTAACATCATATTATGGATAGAGTTTAATTCAGTGTTTGAAAGATTAATTTAACTATTTTTAAATTATTGTCTAAATTGCCATGAAGCAATTAGGATTTTCTTGCCTGGGATCTTCCTATTGGTGACGTAATCAAAATGGCCGATTGGATGTGGGCGGAGTTGAATATGTACTTGATTACTGTTAGCGTGTTGTTATTAGCAATTAGCCGCAGATAACAGTTCAAGGCTAACGTCTTGTTAATGATCATAAACAACGTAAATAAATACATAAATAAATCTGAGAGAAGGGGGCCAGCGACGGCAGGTCAGCGTTGCGCGCGCGCTCGCGCGGTGGTATCGATACTTTTGAAAATGAGTATCGTATCCGGATACAACATTTTAGTATCGATACTTTTTTAAGTATCGATACTTTTGACAACCCTAGTGTCAACCCATTTAAATCGGAAGGTGCCTCTAAGTCCACGTGAAGTACCATCGGGATGCTAATCGCAGCCCGGGAGATGGCTGTAAGTGCTGCAGCTGCAGAGTGACACAAACAGCCAAACAACTGAGTCATTAGCACCTCCCGAACAACAGGGTGAATCACGTTGTGGCTTTATCAACCGTCTGTCCTGCATGCTGTGCACAAAGCAAAAAGCCATGTTAATGTGCTTTAAAAAGGGAAACGTAGATGTTTACATTACTGTCTGAATGCCCACATGGCATCCATGAAAAGATTCCCAGTTTAATTTAGAGGGCTTGTTCTTCAGATCCCAAATTTTTTCATTTATCTGGATTGTATTCTTTAAAATATGATATTTCCCCCTTTATTTGTATTGGCTAAGAAGGATTCATACAAAGATTTAGAATACTAATTTATTCTGTAATGTCTTAAAACTGGGATTAAAAGGTTTTCCCAGCATCTGTAGTCCTGTTCTGACCAACAGGAAGCAGAGCCAAAAGTTTAGATAAACATGTGTACAGGACTAATAAGACAAAAAAAGTTATTCTTTAAAAACTGAACCATGTCAATCCAATCAAAGGTGTTAGACAATTTTATTACAATCCAATAAAGCTGCTCTCATTCAAAAGGTTTTCCTGTTTATTTTCTCAAACCACCAAACTGAAAATGCTGTCCGACCGTCACTCTGCTCTAATAAAATCCATGTTTTCTCTGCAGATGCATTTTACAGCCACTGTCTGGGCAGAAACGATGAGGTCATTGCTTAAAGGGTATCAGCTGGGCTTTATTTAAAAGGAAATGAACACACGAGACAAACATTTCAAACAGAAATTATTATAATTGTAAAATTAGCTTTTTTCCCCCCAGAAGATGAAGAGGGCATTTTTGACTTATTAGTTCCAGATTAGTTATAAAGCAGCCGACAGCTGGGAGTCCAGATGCAAACAGACCCACATCCAGCCCGCTTTCCATCCGTTTTATGCTCAGTGTCTTTAAAAAATAAAAAAATCATCTTCATTATCAGACTGAACTGAAGCACCGGCATCGTCTGTGTTTCCTTCAGTTGTCAGATGGTTTAAACCAGACTCCAGAAATCCATTTTCCACCTCTTTGTGCTTTCTGTTGTCAGACTTTCCAGACGTCTTCCGTCATGTTTCGTCCTCCAAACTTCACATGTTCACACAGGGCTGAATGAAAGAGGACAATTGGCTTTTTCAATTGCATTTCTAAAACAATCTAAACCACCGCCTCAGACTGAGTTCTTTAAACGACTTTTCTTAGACTTCTGTGGTGCTTAAACCCTCCATTCTTGGTAGCAGTAGGTCCAACCTGCGACTTTAAGCAGCCTGAGATAAACGATCCACATTGATGCTCAAAACCAGAGAGCCTCTGACCTTTTTATTGGTGAGTTATGTGGTAAAAATAAAAATGCAGGCTTTAGATTAAGGCGCACTGACATCAGGGGAATATTTAAGACTTTAGTCTGAGATAGAAAGCCTGAGATGATGCTCCATCTGACCGGAGGAGTCTGTTTGGAATATTAAGACTTTAGTCTGAGATAGAAAGTCAGAGATAATGCTCCATCTGATCGGAGGAGTCTGTTTCTGACTGAGCAGACCGAAATTACATCAGCTCTGTTCGGTTGTCTCGGCTCTATAAACAAAAGTCGCTGAGCTGAGGATAAATTAAGAGGCCATCAGCTCTGAAAAGGGCCCCGCTGACTTATGAAATGATGCTAGGGTGATAAAGGTGTTTAGCTCCTGTGTCCCACCGGGCTACAGCACAGCTCCACGAGCCTGTGTGTGTGTGAGTGTGTGAGAGTGTGTGTGAGTGTGTGTGTGGGGGGGGGGGGGGGGGGGGGGGGGGCACACACACAGATGGATCGTGATACCTTTTTTTTCCTCTAAGTAACCCTGAAAGAAGCCCGTGAGACCAATTCCGTGCCAGAAAATCTGAATTTAGCGCCGCCTTCCCTCCGCTTCGATTAGGACGGTCGGGAGTGACCAGGAGGAGGAAAATGAAAAGCAAACTCCCCACGCTCTGTGAAATGGATTCCTCCGGTGGTGAATGATATCTCCACCACATCGGGCTGCGGCCGATGGGCCGGAGGAGCCTGTAAAGGCTGGTTTGTGTGGGCAGAAAGCTAATTCTGCCTCACAGTCCCAATCACAAGGGTTCAAATGCTCCTGGAACTTCTTCAGAACCGTCAGTAGTTCTCATGTAGTCAGCTGGGCTCTAACATCTGACTTTGGGTGGTAATTCGGGAGTCTTTGCTGCATCCTGGATCTTTAAATATCACCTCTCTTACTTAGGCTGGTTGGTGAAAGAGATCCAGATGGTCCGCCATGACCCGTCTTTGGTTTTTGAATAATGGCATTAACCTCCTAAACCAGGGTTGCTCAATACGCCGCTCGCGATCTACCAGTCGATCTCTAAGGTACTATTTTCAGATTGCGTGACAAGGTGAGGCGACATTGTCATGAACTGACGCTATACAAATAAAGCTGAGTTGTTTTGAATAAAAACTAGACGTCAGCCTATCAGCCGTCCGTCACTTGATTGAGACACAGGACAACCAGTCATATGACATCTGATTTTCTTCCGTACAATTACGTCACTGTACGCAGCTAAGCTAACAAGCGAGTCGTTAGTTACATCCTAATTTTTCGCTTGGTTTTTTCCTCTTAAACGTAAGTTAGGTTATGGAAATGAGTGGGGGAGCTGAAAGAAGAAAAAAACGTATCACTTTCATACGGAATTCTGTGAATTTTTTACGACGACATTTTCAAAGTGCGTTTATCTCGTCTACCGTCACAATATGTGGTTATACATCAATATGTGGTTATACATCCTTATGTGGTTATACATCAACATAAGTTGTAAGAATCCTCAATATATTTCTCAATAAATATAATGGGTAGATCATTTTGACTTGTTCATTTCAAAAGTAGCTTCCATGCTGAAAAAGTGTGAGCACCCCTGCCCTAAAGCAACTCTGCTGCTTTTTTCTGGGGGTTAAGAGACGCTTTGAAGCAGGAAGGGACGGAGTTATGTGTTTAATATGTAAATGGATCTTCATGAGGGGTGTAACGGCGTGCGGTTCATCACACCAGCTTTCTTCAGACAAATGCGGAGGTGGTGGTGCACCGTGGAGGAGTTCACGTTTTTTTTTTTTGTCTCTTTCAGGTCATCCAGACCAGCAGGGCCCTGCTGGAGAGCTCCGACGGCCTGTCTGAGAGGATCCTCCAAACCCAAAAAGCAGGTGAGACGTGCAGCTTCTGGGTGGCTAACCAAAGGGCACTCAACAAGAAAGACACTTGCTTAATTCAATTCAATTAAATTTTATTTATATAGCGCCACATCACAACAACAGTTGTCTCACAGCGCTTTCCAAACAGAGCAGGTCAGACCCTACTCTGAAGTTAATTACAGAAACCCAACAATTCCCACCATGAGCAAGCACTAGGCGACACAGGCAAGGAAAAACTTCCTTTTAACAGGCAGAAACCTCGGGCAGAACCATGGCTCAGGGTGGGCGGCCATCTGCCTCGGCCGGTTGGGGGTGAGAGAGAGAGGGCAAGAGAGAGAGGGAGAGGGCGAGAGAAGGACAGAGGGAGCAGAGAGAGGCAGCCAACACAGCAACACATAGACAGGATGAAAAATAGCAATGATATTAATACTAATGATAATGGTAGAAGTTATGACAGAAATAACACTATGCAGAGTAGTGCAAATTGCATTTGATTGATTGATTGATTGATTGATGGATTTTTTTCTCACGAATGTGGTCCATCTGACCCCTCTAGAGTCTGTGTCCTCCAGTGGACAGCAAAGCAGTTAAAGCCTCTCCAAATTTGGTAACTGAATCCATTCGTTTCCCAGCTGCTTCTTCCCACCAGTCTTGGTTTAAAAAGTCAGTCTTTAAGTGTTGCTGACCAACAGAAATAAGGATAAAACCCTCCGGTTTGACATGAATGTGAT